GTTTTACATCATCATTTTGCACTTGAAGTATCAATAACTCCTTAACCAAAGCATGTTTTATAATAATATATCTAATAATATAAGATACCTATAATTTGTGGTAAATGTCTATTTTTAATGCAGGCCTATCACATAAATGAAAGGATTGATTGATGACTTGAAGAACTTAAATTGCAAGGATAAAGAGATGGCCAAACTTAGAAAAGAGATGTCGGTGCAAAATGCTCATTTTAAATGTTGGCCTATTATATAAATGAAGGGATTGATTCATGAATTTAAATTGAAAGGGAAAGAGATGGCCAAACTTAGAAAAGAGATGTCGGTGCAAACCAATGCAGTTCAAATCAGAACACTGTTCAGTAATTAGGTCATATCTGCAGCTGTAGATCTCAGATTTGGTCTACTTTATATGGATGGAAAGGTAAGATATAGGCCTACAACTTTTATATGGAGCCGAAGATCTAAAAAGGCCATTTTCAAGTCCAAATTGGAGCAACAACAAAGAAGTCTGAATCTGTCCTCCAGCCCGAGTACTGTTCAGTGCTTGGCCCATATATGAAGTTCTAGAAGTCCAAAAGATCTGAATTTTTTATACAAGAAAGCTGAGACAATTTCCTACAACTTTCATGTTTTCAAGTAGATCCAATTTTGACGTTATCAATGATGTTTTGTGCAGACAAGAGCAGATAAGGATTGTCACCAAGTCAAGAGTTGGTCACCCACTCATCAATTAGTCATCAAATCAATAGTTTCCAATTTTAGCCTATAAAAGGAGGCATTTGCCATGCATTTAGGCATCTTGGTTTCCAAATCAAGATCATGCTCTTGCTTTCTCTCTTTGTACTTTTTGTAATGTTTATGCTTTGCTTTCATTAATATCAAGTTTATGCCTTTCATTTCCTTTCCTTTACTTAGTTAACTCTTATCTTATTTATGTTCTTATTTCTTTATTTATTTTTCTTTCTTTCATTATATTTAGCTAAGTTTATAACACTTGATACAACAAATGCTTGGCACTTTTATATTTCATATTGTATGGTATAATCGACACTTAAGCTGTGAAAGGAACTTGATTTGTTGTTAACATAAGTTATAATCATGAATGCTTGACGAGATTTACAAGTATTAGCATTAATTGAATAAGATGACTAATGTAATCATGTTAACAATATATAATCTGATTGGAACCTCCTTTGTGTGTGGTTTCCAATTGAATAATAAGAGTTTATACTATACTTGTTTGACATACCATTAGTGGAATCTCTAACCTTGACATTTGTTATTATCATTGTTTAATCTTTACATTAATATTCCATCTTAAAGTTCTCATCTTTTTCTTCTTCTTCTCCTTCTTTTTCTTTATTATTATTATTATTATTATTATTATTATTATTATTACTATTATTAATACTATTATTATTATTATTATTATTATTGTTATTATTATTGTTGTCGTTGTTGTTATTATTGTTATTGTTATTGTATTGTTGTTATTTGTAATTTATACAATTAACCTCCCTGTGATTCAACCTCGGTCTTGTCGGGTTATTTATTACTTTGACACTTCTGCACTTAAGAGAAGATGACAATCTTTTAGTCGTGTCAGCATACCGTGGAGAACCAATGTAGGAGACAGTACCTGTATAAAATAAATTTTCATTAGCAAAGAGTTTATTTATTGGAGATTCATCAATTATGGTCTTATCACTTGAAAGACGGGACAAATGATCAACCACTATATTCTCTACTTCCTTTTTATCTTGAATTTCAAGGTTAAACTCTTCGAGTAGGAGGATCCATCGAATCAAAAGTGATTTGGCATCTTGTTTTGTGAGCAAGTATTTCAATGCTACATGATCATTGAAAATAATAATGAGAGATCTAACCAAATAAAACCTAAACTTGTCTAATTCAAAGACCATAGCTAATAGTTCTGTTTTAGTTGTAGTGTAATTCAATTAAGCATCATTTAAAGTCTTGCTAGCATAATAAATGATATGAGGCTTCTTATCTTTTCTTTGCCCTAAAATAGCCCCTACCGCAAAATCACTGTCATCACACAGCAATTCAAATGGTAAAGACCAATCAGGAGCTTGTATGATTGGTGTACTAGTCAATAATCCTTTAAGCTTTTCAAAAGCTTCTTAACATTTTGACGTCCAATCAAATTAGACATCTTATGACAACAAGTTACATGATGGTTTGGCAATGGTACTAAAAGAATGAATGAATCTTAAGTAAAAACCAGCATGTCTTAAAAAGGATCTCACATCTTTCACTATTTAGGGGTAGGTAATTTTTCAATGATTTCTATTTTTAACTTATCTACCTCTATTCCTTTTGAATAGACAATGTGACCTAAGACAAAGCCATGTGTCACTATAAAATGACACTTCTCTCAATTGAGTACAAGATTGCTCTCTTCACACCTTTTAAGAACCTTTTCTAAATGCATTAGTCACAACTCATAAGAATCCCCATAAACTGAAAAACCTTCCATGAAAACTTCTAAAAAAATTTCCACCATGTCACTAAATATACTCATCATACAATTTTGAAAAGTGGCTGGTGCATTACACAAGCCAAAGGGCATTCTTCTATAAGCATAAGTACCAAAAGGAAAAGTGAAAGTGGTTTTTTCTTGGTCTTCTAAGGAAATCTCAATTTGGTTGTAACCCGAATATCCATCAAGAAAACAATAGAAAGCTCTTTCAACTACTCTTTCAAACACCTGGCGTAAAAATGAAAGCGGAAAAGGGTCATTCTTATCACCATGTTCAACTTACGATAATCAATGTACATACACCATCCAGTTTGGATTCTTATTGGCACTAGCTCATTATTTTCATTCTTCACTACCATGACTCCAGATTTTTTAGGGACAACTTGGGTTGGACTAACCCATTTGAGTTTGCAATGGGATAAATGATACTTATATCAAGTAGCTTAAGCACTTCACCTCTCACTACTTCCTTCATGTTTGGGTTCAATCGTCTTTGCATTTGCCTCACAGATTTAGCCTCTCATTTGCCTCACACATTTGCCTCACATATTTAGCATTTTTTGCAACATAGATTCTATGTGTACATAAAAGAAGGCTAATTCCTTTCAAGTCAGTAATTATCCACCTAATTGCTTTTTTATTTTTATTTTTTTGGGCGATAAAAGCAACCAATTGATTTTTTTATATGATTTTTTTCAATAATCAAATCTAAATTTGTTACCTTTGCTTGCTAGCTCCCAGGAAACGGCGCCAAAATTGCTTGACCGCTTTTTATGATCGACTTGTTTTAACTCGCAAGTGCACGAGTGTGTGATGTAGCAATTAACTCGGTAAAATCGAGGTCATATCTTCAGAGAGCTATATCTGGAAATTAAGCTAGGTAACAAAAAAAACTCAAGAGAAATTAAATTAACAATAACTTGGTTGAAAATAATTGATGGATTTGTTTTCAAAGATAAAAACAAGTAAATAGTAAATGACAAGAAAAAGTAAGTCTTGATCCAAATCAATTTTAATGGTGATGTATTGGTGATTCCTTCAAGATATATAAGATAACTTAACCTAATATCAACGATGCTGATATTAGATTAGAAGATATTACAATGAAGTTTAAAAAGATGAAGATTGAGTATTGCTTAAGAATAAACAAGTACTTTCATATTAAGTAGGACATTGAATCAAGCAATTTTTATTCCAAAACTAAAGTTTGTGCATAAAAATTCAAGATTATAACATTACCTAAATGATTTCTAAAATTTTTGTGCAATAATAAAACATTCATGAAGAAAATGAGAAGATAAACATTAAGATTTATTCACATCTTAAAGAACCTACCTCAACCACCATCATCCTTGATTTGGATCCAAGAAAGAGATTAACCAACCATGATTATATATAAGAACACTTTGATAAACATGAAATAACTTGAATCAAAATAAAATAATAAGTTTTACAAACTAAAAAACTAAAATCTATAAAGAAAAATACAACACAATTTTAGTAAAAAATAAAATACAAATATGATGCTAACTTTGGACAACAATTTTGACCCTTCTAGAAGCCTTCTATGGAGATGGCTATTAGAGACATATTTATAGGAAGTTTTGTCACTTTTCCATATCATTAAAGAACAGGTCATTTGGCTAGAGAGCTAGAGAGAGACACTCTCGATTGTAGTGAGAGATAGCGCCTGTGTGCTACACTGCACCTGTTGATTCTTTCATTGTGCACCGTTCCTCTTCTTCACTTCTCCATGACTGCTCCTGATCTCTTTATGGGGAAATCAAAGAAAAAATCCAAGATTTTTCAGTTTGTTTAAGGGGATTTTAAACTTCAGACCTCGTGTCAAGTTTCCCCAAGTATTTCTGGGGCTCAATTTTGTAGCCAATCTCCGGTCCAATCTAATTTTGGTTCTTCATCTAAAGCTTCTCCACCTCGTACCAGAGTGGTTTTTACTGACTATGTTAACCCATCTAATGGAGTTAGGGGTTCTTATTAGAGCAGGAACAGAGACATGCATCAAACTCGTTCCTCTGCTTCACCCTCTTCCTTTTGCACCAATAATGACATCTTCTCCGATGACTCTAGGGTGGGAGCATCGACGAGCACTGGAAAGGCTGGGTTTTTCCCTCTCATTTTCGAGTTTCATCGTGGTTCAACCCACCGGTCAACTTCAAAGCAGAAAGGAACTCCCACTCAGCCAACGGGGTTCGTTCCAACCTCCACAAGGACTACCTTCAGGCCCTTCATTGACATTCCTATTCGAACATAGATGAACGACAAAGAACCCCAATAAGGTACTTCTCAATCTCTTGGTCTTGTTCATTTCCTTGATTTTGCATCCTCTACTTCATGCCAACTTAAGGATACAGACGCGGCTAACCCTGCTGATTTGGGGAAGTTTTGTTTAATTAGGTTTGTTGATGGAAAGTTTCCTAGTTATGCATTGTTGTCTCATTATATTACGAAAAACTGGAAACATCATGCAAACTTTACAATGCATGATTGTGGGTGGCTTATATTTGCATTCCCCACTGAATATGAAATGCTGAAAGTTCTTGGTGGGGGACCATATAATGTGTTTGGCAGGCCGTTACTTCTCCAGGTCATGCCTGATTTTTTTTATTTCAAACCTAATGACATGACCAAGTTGCCTACATGGGTAAGATTCCCCAACTTGCCTCTTCGGTGTTGGACCCCCCTTTATTTGTCCAAATTGGCTAGTGTTATTGGGAAACCAATACACTGTGATGACTCTACAACTAATATGACAAGGCTATCCTATGCCCGGGTTCTTATTGAGGTTGATTTCCTGGGAGATTTGCCTAGCTCTGTAAATGTTATTCTCCCTAATGACTCCAACCTTGCTCAGCAAGTTCTATATGAGTCACTCCCCCACTTCTGTAAATCAAGTCATGTCCTGGGGCACACTGAAAATGCATGTCACAAAGGCACAAAGTCAAAGCGCAAGACAAGGCCTCAAGTCATTCATAAAGACTCTGGTTCTCCTTCTACGAATATAGTGGCAGTTGAGAAACAACAACCATACAGTCAAGGGCCTCTTGTTGACACTCCTATTGATCCTATATCCACTGAAGTGGCCACCTCTAAGTCTAGAAGTCACTCCTCCCCTAGGCGTAAAAAAACCAAGTTTGTTGACCCTAAGCAAGCCTCAGATTCTGTAAAGGGTGAGGAAGCTTTACCGGTTACCAAACAATACTTAACCAGGAGCAAAGCTAGCAAAAAGGATGCTCAACCCAATTTGGGTAAACCGGGGTCATCCAAAGGCCCCGTGATTTTACATTGCAGCTTTGATGATCTGGCACCATTGTTATTGATGTAGTTGGATTAGGGGCTTACCCTAATTTTGCTTTTCTTAGGCAGTCATTTTGCTGGTTGGGTTTTTTATGCTTGTTTTCTTTGTTCCTGTTAGTCAGGATTTGTTTCTAGGATGGTGCAGGATGTTCTGATTATGTTTTTCAGATTGTTCCTTCCTTGCTGCTGTTTTTGTGCTTTGCTTGTTGTTGGCTAGATCCTTGCTGGTTTTGCTTGCAGTTTTCTCTGGTGCTACTTTTGCTGCTATTTGTTCTCCTAGGAGATGCTTGTGCCTCCCTGGTTTGATTGTTGTTTGGATTGTTGCAGGATGTGACCTGTTGGGATGTTCAACTAATTTGTTGGCTCGTTTGTTCCCTACAACGAGCGTTGGTAATTAGTGGTCCAGTCTATTGATGTTAGGAAATCTTATTTTCTTGTTTAGCTTAGTGGGAGTATGTTCCCCTAGGCTTTCTGCATTCTATTTTTCTCTGCATGAGGGTTGTTCATGCTTTTGTCCATAGGTTCCCTTGATGGCTTTTTGGGAGCAGGGGCTCTATATTGGCATTCTGGATTAATGTATAGGGGATTCTGACTGGCTTGTGCTGGGGAGAATGTTCTCCAACACTAGCCTCTTGTGTTTTTCTAAGGTTTGTTTAAGGGAGCTTGTTCCCTTTGCTGGTGCATGTAAAGTTCTGCTGGTTTCCAGCTTGGACCACAAGCTTGTCTTGCTCTTTTTTTATCTATATAATTCTTACATTTGATAAAAAAAAAAAAAAGAACAGGTTATTTGGACACTGGAGTCAAAAGTTATGGGCAAAACACCGAAAGGTGTTCTAAAAACTAAAATCAGGCCAGCTTAGAAACCACTTTGGTGCACATTTTTCTTCCTCCTGTATGAGCTATCTTTTTCTTTTTTTTAGCCAAAATAATATAATAATTTCCCCTCTAGCTTTCCATCCATGTGTTTGCCCTCTTGGATTAATGAATTACCCAAAATAAATCAATTGTTATTTGTTATGTGGACATGTAAGATCATAGATTGTACTTAGGCTAATTTGAAGGTTGATTTATGGCTAAATTTAAGCATCATATAAGGATACAAATGTACCTATTATTTGGGCTAAGATTGACATTGAAACCTTGAGTGTTTGATGGTTGAAGTTTGCATACAATATAAGGTAAGTTTGGGCTTGAAATAGATCATATGATGACCTTTTCTAGGATTGGAATACAATTAATTTTTTGAGAAAAATTTGGAGCACTTATTTGAACGAAGAATTGCTTCAAACTTCTACTAAATTTCTCTTCAATTCTTTATTCCGAATTCCAACATTAATTTTTCTAACAATCCATTTAAGCTCCAAAAACTTGTTGAAATATTAAAAGAAACTTTATTACTTAAAGCACATTAATTATTATAAAAAACTAAATAAAAACAATAAATACATATGTAAAATAAGAGACTTAATGATACTTTTGATGCATAATCAAGTTGGATCAAAAGTTAGGGCCTTTCTAAACCGTTATTCTGGTTAGGCATGATTAGACCTCCTCTTCAATGAGTAGCAATTCCAAATTTGCTCAATAGAAAATGACCTCTAGAAACTCCTGTAAAAATTTCAGCATGATCAACTGTTGGATGAAAAGTTATGGCTAGTTTGAATTGTTATACTGGTCAGACATGACGAGACCCTCTCTTTAGTGAGTAGTTATTCCATATCTACTACAAGAAAATGACCTCTGAAAACTTCTTTAAATATTTGAGAGTGATCCAATGGTTGGATCAAAAGCTAAGGCCCTTTTAAGCTGTTATTATGGTTAGGCATGACTAGACCTCCTCTTTAGTGAGTAGTGATTCAAAGTCTACTATATAGAAAAAGACATCTAGAAACTTATATAAAGATTTTAGTGCGATCCAACAGTCGAATCAAAATTTATTGCTCTATTGAGCTGCTATTCTAGTCAGGTGTGACTAGACCTACTATTCGGTATGTAGCGATTACAAATGTACTTCATGGATAACTGATTGTGCATCAAAAGTGTCATTAAGTCTCTTATTTTACATATGTATTTATTGTTTTTATTTGGTTGTTTTTATAATAATTGATGTGTTTTTTAGTAATGAAGTTTGTTTTAATGTTTCGATAGGTTTTTGGAGCTTAAATGAATTAATTCACAAAATTCAACGTCGGAATTCAGAACAAAGAATTGAAGAGACATTTAGTTGAAGATTGAAGCAAATCTTGGTTCAAATAAGTGCTCCAAATTTGTCCCAAAAATCAATTCTATTCCAATTCTAGAAAAGAATATCATATGATTTATTTCAAGCCCAAACTTGCCTTATGTTGTGTGCAAACTTCAACAATTAAACACTCAAGGTTTCAATGTCAATCTTAGTGACACGACTAAAAGATTGATGTCTTTTCCCAAGTGCAGGAGTGTCGAAGTAATAAATAACCCGGCAAGACCGGGGTCGAACCATAGGGAGGTTATTTGTACAAATTATAAATAACAATAAAAAAACAACAATAACAACAACAACAATAGTAATAATAATAATAATAATAATAATAATAATAGTAGTAGTAGTAGTAGTAATAATAATAATAATAATAATAATAATAATAATAATAAAGAAAGAGAAGAAGAAGAAGATGATGATGATGAGAACTTAGAGATGAAATATTAATGTAAGGATTAAGCAATAATAATAACAAATGTCAAGGTTAGAGGTTCCACTAATGGTATATCAAACAAGTACAGTATAAACTCTTATTATTCAATTGGAAACCACACACAAAGGAGGTTCCAATCAGATTATATATTGTTAACATGATTACATTAGTCATCTTATTCAATTAATGCTAATACTTGTAAATCTCGTCAAACATTCATGATTATAACTTATGTTAACAACAAATCAAGTTCCTTTCATAGCTCAGGTGTCGGTTATACCATACATTATGGGTTATGAAAGTGCCAAGCATTTGTTGTACCAAGTGTTATACAACATAAATCAAGATTAGTCATTTAACAAGCAAAGTATTAAAGAGTGAACAAGATAACAAATATAAAACATGTTAGTATCAAACATTAAAGTCCATATTAAGTTTACATTATACTTATTCTTACACCATTAGTGTAACCTTTTCACCTTGACATAATTAACTTAGCTAGACATAATGAAAGAAAGAAAAATAGATAAACAAAATAAGAACATAAAAGTTAACTAAGTAAAGGAAAGGAAATGAAAGGCATAAACTTGATATTAATGAAAGGAAAGCATAAACATTACAAAAAATAAAAAGAGAGAAAAGAAGAGCATGATCTTGATCTGGAAACCAAGATGCCTAAATGCATGGCAAATGCCTCCTTTTATAGGCCAAAATTGGAAACTATTGATTTGATGACTAATTGATAAGTGGGTGGCCAACTTTTGACTTGGTGACAATCCTTATCTTCTCTTGTCTGCCCAAAACGTCATTGATAACGTCAAAATTCGAGCCAGTTGCAAACATGAAAGTTGTAGGCAATTGTCTCAGCTTTCTTGTGTAAAACATTCAGCTCATTTGGACTTCTAGAACTCCAGATATGACCAAAATACCGAATAGTGCTCGGGCTGGAAGACAGATTCGGGCTTCTTTGTTTTTGCTACAATTTGGACTTGATAATGGCCTTTTTAGATCTTAGGCTCCATATGAAAGTTGTAGGCCTATGTCTTACCTTTCCATCCATATAAATTGGACCTAAATCTGAGATATATAGCTTTAGATATGACCCAATTACCGAATAGTGTTCCGGTTTGGATTGCACCGACATCTCTTCTCTAAGTTTGACCATCTCTTTATCCTTGCAATTTAAGTTCTTCAAGTCATCAATCAATCCTTTCATTTATGTGATAGGCCTGCATTAAAAATAGACATTTACCACAAATTATAGGTATCTTATATTATTAGATACATTATTATAAAACATATTTTAGTTAAGGAGTTATTGATACTTCAAGTGCAAAATGATGATATAAAACCATGATAAAAATGCACTTTTAAGTACTAATCACTTAGCCCAAATAATAAGTACATTTGTATACTTATTTGATGCTCAAATTCAGCCCAAAATCAGCCCCAAATCAGCCCTAAATCAACCCCAAATCAACCTTCAAATCAACCCAAACACAATCCATGATCTTACATGTCCACACAACAAATAACAATTGATTTATTTTGGCTAATCCATTGATCCAAGAAGGCAAGCACATGGATGGAAAGCTGGAGGGGATATTTTAACATTATTTTGGGTCAAAAAGAAGAAGGAGACACCTCATAAATGAGGAAGAAAAACGTGCACCAAAGTAGTTGTAAAGCTGTCTTGATTTGATTTTTCAGAACACCTTTCGGTGTTTTGCCCATAACTTTTGACTCAGGTGTCCAAATGAGCTGTTCTTTAATGATCTGGAAAGGTGACAGAATTGCCTATAAATATGTCTCTAATAGACTTCTCCAAAAAAAGCTTCTAAGAGGGTCGAATTGCTGTCCAAAGTTAGAGTCAGATTTGTGTCCGAATTTTTTCTGAAATTGTATTGTGTTCTTCTTTATAGATTTCGGTTCTTTAGTTTGTAAAACTTATTTTTTCAGTTGGATTCAAGTTCTTTCATGTTTATTGAAGTGTTCTTATATATAATCATGGTTGGCTAAACTCTTTCTTGGATCCAAATCAAGGATAATGGTGATTGAGGTGAGTTCTTTAGGATATGAATGAATCTTAATGTTTATCTTCTTATTTTCTTCATGAATGATTTATTATTGTAAAGAAATTTTAGAAATCATTTAGGTAATGTTATAATCTTGAATTTTTATGCACAAACTTTAGTTTTGGTATAGAGATTGCTTGATTCAATGTCTTACTTAATATGAAAGTACTTGTTCATTCTTAAGCAATAATCAATCTTCATCTTTCTAATCTTCATTGTAATATCTTCCGATTTAATATCACCATCGTTGATATTAGGTTGAGTTATCTTATATATGTTGAAGAAATCACCAATACATCACCATTAAAATTGATTTGGACCAAGACTTACTTTTCTTGTCATTTAAAATCTATTTACATTTTTTTTTATCTTTGAAAACAAATCCATCAATTATTTTCAACCAAGTTATTGTTAATTTAATTTCTCTTGAGTTTTTTTTTGTTACTTAGCTTAATTTCCAGATCTAGCTCTCTGTGGATATGACCTCGATCTTACCGAGTTAATTGCTACATCGCACACTCGTGCACTTGCGAGTTAAAACAAGCCGATCATAAAAAGCGGTCAAGCAATTTTGGCGCCGTTGCCGGGGAGCTAGCAAGCAAAGGTAACAAATTTAGATTTGATTATTGGAAAACTAAAAAAAAATCATATAAAAAAAATTAAATTGGCTGGTTTTACCGCCTCAAAAAAAAAAAAATTGACCTTAACATTTCAGATATTAATTGTTGGATTTTGGTTGGTTCAACCATTTTTCTTTTATTGTCTATTCTTATTAGTTTCTAATATTTTTCTTGTTTATTTCATTTTATTTTGTTGTTTTGTTTTTATTTATTGTCTAAAGTGTTTGGCCGGTATTACCGCCTTTGTTTTTTTATTCATGCTTGTTATAATTATCTTTTAATGTTTATTGTTGTTATTTTTCTTATATTTATTGTCTAAAGTTCTTGGTCGGTATTACCGCCTCTTGTTTATTTCCTTTTTATTTTGTTGTTTTGTTATGATTATTTTTCTTATATTTATTGTTTGAAGTGCTTGGCTGGTATTACCGCCTTTTGTTTATTCATGCTTGTTATAATTATTTTTTAATGTTTATTGTTGTTATTTTTCTTATATTTATTGTCTAAAGTGCTTGGCCGGTATCACCGCCTTTTTATTCAAGCTTCTTATAATTATCTTTTAATGTTTATTGTTGTTAATAGTGCTTATTAGTTGGAGAGTGAATTTCTTAATTTGTTGTATTTTTATTTTTGAGCTATTACTTTTATTTGCATTTTTTTTCTTTCCTTTCCTTTCATTTTCATATAATTGTTATATTATTATTATTTTTATTATTATTATTTTATCATGGCTATTGTTGAAGATGTAGAGGGTGAAGGGAGTGTTCAAGGTAATGGACCTCCACAATTCAATGATCAACCTAATTTTCGAACTCTTAGAGAGTATCTTCACCCGGCTAGACAAAGTACACCTTCGTGTATTATCTTACCTCTTAACCAACAAGCTTTCAATTTGAAACCGGGCATGATTCAACTTCTTCCCACATTTCATGGTATGGATTCTGAAAATCCATACATACACATTAAAGACTTTGAAGAGGTATATAATACTTTTATTGATAGAACATGCACAGAGGAAACCATTCGGCTTAAATTGTTCCCATTCTCTCTAAAGGATAAAGCCAAGCTTTGGCTAAACTCCTTGCGTCCTAGGTCTATAGGTACATGGAGAGAAATGCAAGCTGAATTTTTGAAAAAATACTTCCCCACTCATAGGACAGCAGCTTTACAACGTCAAATGATGAATTTTTCTTGTAGTCCAAATGAGTCATTTCACCAAGCTTGGGAAAGGTTCAAAGACTTGTTAAATGCATGCCCTCATCATGGTTTTGAGATGTGGAGGTTAGTGAGTTTCTTTTATGACTCTCTTACCGCAGATTTTAAAAAGCTAGTGTCAACCATGTGTAATGGTGAGTTTTATGACAAAGAACCAAGTGAGGCCTTTGATTTTTTTGATCAATTGGCTGAAAACACAAAGCAATGGGAGACTTCTCTCCCAGTTCATGTTGAGTCTAGAAACACCATTTCTCATTCAAGTGGGAAGTTTCAATTGAAAGAGACTGTGTTGTGCCGTGAATGATTCAAAAATCGGCAATAATGAATCTGACGAAAATGGATGAAGGATGGGTCTGGTTGTATTGTCTTTCTTCTGGTGTTTAGGCTAGATTATAGTATTTTTAAGGTAAATAAAAATGGAGGATAAACTAGAGTGATACTTTGATAAGTCGATCTGGACGCCACAAAGATCAATCTAGGATTTTGACGCCACACTCTTTGTGATTGAAGAGTGATAAGTCAGTAGGGTTCTTCACAAATCAATTTGGAAGAATAACTCTTAATTCTCGGAATTAAGTTCAAATATTGGCCAAAAGTTGTTTATTACATATTCTGATGCCATATTTATAATGGAACATCCCTCCACACTTAGGAAAATTCAACATGACAGAAATCAAGCCCAAAACTTGGACTTTGACAAAGTAATCAGACAAATTACACTAGCACACATTTTCTGACTTTAATTGAAACATAAACAGACCGAATTTAAAATGGCTATAACTTCTTGCACAAAAGTCCAATGCAATCATGGTTGGACAATCTGGAAAGATCACGTTCTGAACTTGAAATCCACCTAGATTAGTCTTGTTTTCACATGCAATGGATGACTTCAAATTCGGGTTCAAATTTATCTACTGTTCTGACGTAAACAGCATCAATTTCTTAACTTATTTGCATTATCAACCCAAATTCAAGTAGTCCAGCATCAAAAGAACCATTAAGGGCTCTTCCCATCTTTAAGCTCTAATTGTAGGCAAATAAGCACCCTTGAACCAATTTGAAACTGATTGCCAAATTTTAACTCCGACGCAGCTTCAATCATTCCAATCTGACTCGTCAAGGTCCTTTGTAGTTGTTTCGCTCTCGCTCTTGTCATTGGACCATCTGAATCCTCTTGTATATTTGATTTACCTTTACGAGATGGATTATCATTCCCATGATGCACATCAGACTGATGACCTCAATGCTAGATTAACCTCATTGGCTAGGAAAGTAGAGTCTCTTGAGATTAAAAAAGTGCATGTCATAAGTGAACAACAAGAGGAAAGTTGTGTTGTTTGTGAGAGCAAAGGGCATAGGACAACTGAGTGTCCTACCATTCCAGCCTTCAAGGAAGTGCTATATGGCCAAACTTCTGATTCAAGTAATGTTAGAAAACCATTTCCAAACCAAGTAGGCAATCCCTACTCTGAGACCTATAATCCTGGATGGAGGAACCACCCAAATTTTGGATGGAGAAATGAGGGCTCTTCAGTACCTCAAACATTTCAACCTCCACCCCAACCATTTCATGCTCCCACACATAACACATACCAACCACCTCATAAGAGATCCTTAGAGGATACTCTTCAACAATTCATGCAAACGCAAGGAGGAATCAACAACCAAGTTTACAAATTCCAAGACCAGACCAATAGGACCTTAGATGACATTCGAAGTCAACTAACTAAGTTGACTCAATCACTAAGCATTCAAGAGAAGGGAAAAATCCCAGCTCAACCAATGCCCAATACTAGAGGTCAGGTACACATGAGTGAATCCTCACCTAGTGAACCTTCAAACCATGAACAAGTCCAAGCCATCACTACCCTTAGAAGTGGAAAGATTATTGACAAAGGTGTAGGTTTTAGGATTCCTAAAGGTATTGTAGAGGAGAAATCCAGGGAAAGTGAAGAGGGAATCAAAACACAAGTGACAAATGAGAGTTTGAGTGACAAAGAAGGTGAGATAAATGAGAAAGAGATGAGTGAGAAAAGAGATGATTCAAGAAAAATTGGAGTCAAAATGAGTGATTTAGAATTTGTTCCTAGAGCACCATTTCCACAAAGGTTAGGGAAACCTAAACAAGATCTTATGAACTCAGAAATCTATGAATTGTTCAAACAAGTGAAAGTCAATATTCCACTCCTTGATGCAATTAAACAAGTTCCATCTTATGCAAAGTTTCTTAAGGATTTATGCACAGTCAAAAGGAGATTGAATGTGAAAGAAAGAGCTTTTCTGACTTAACATGCTAGTGCCATCATCCAGTTTAAGACCCCTCCCAAATACAAAGATCCTGGTTGTCCTACCATTTCATGCATTATTGGAAGTCATAAGATAGATCAAGCTTTGTTGGATTTAGGAGCGAGTGTGAATTTAATACCCTACACTGTTTACGAACAATTAGGTTTAGGAGAAATCAAGCCTACTCGAATCACCCTTCAATTAGCTAATAGGTCAATCAAGATTCCCAGGGGTATCGTTGAGGATGTGTTGGTCCAAGTAGATAAATTCTACTTTCCTGTTGATTTTGTAGTGTTAGACACCGCACCAATTCAAGGTTCTAATGCCCCCATCCCAGTCATCTTAGGGAGATCTTTCCTAGCTACATCCAATGCCTTAATTAACTGTAGGAATGGGGTGATGAAATTGTCTTTTGGGAATATGACTGTGGAGATGAACATATTCAATGTCTCCAAACAAATCGGGGAACATGAGGACATTAGAGAGGTAGATTTCATCCAAACAGTTTGTCAAGAACACTTTGAGAGAGTGTGGATCAAGGATCCATTGGAGAGAACTTTAATTCATGATGAAAGATTTTGTTCTTTGGAATGTGTTGATGAGGAAGTAAGAGAACTCGAGACTTATATAGATCCAATGCCTATTATGTCAATAGGTCAATGGACCCCATCATTTGAGCCTTTGATTTCACCCCAAGTGAAAGTTGAGGAATCTCTTGTCCAGCCTGATAAACTAGAAAGGAAGCCTTTACCGAGTGATCTTAAGTATGCATTTCTAGGGGAAGATGAATCATATCCTATTGTGATCTCATCAAAACTTAGCATAGAGCAAGAACAAAAACTTTTGAGAGTGGTGAGAAAACACAAGAAAGCAATTGGGTGGAAAATTACTGACTTGAAAGGAATTAGCCCTCTTTTATGTACACATAGAATCTATCTTGAAGAAGAGGCTAAATCTGTGAGGCAAATGCAAAGACGATTGAACCCAAACATGAAGGAAGTAGTGAGAGGTGAAGTGCTTAAGCTACTTGATGCAGGTATCATTTACCCTATTGCAAACTCAAAATGGGTTAGTCCAACCCAAGTTGTCCCAAAAAAATCTGGTGTCACGGTAGTGAAGAATGAAAATAATGAGCTGGTACCAACTAGAATCCAAACTGGATGGCGTATGTGCATTGATTATCGTAAATTGAACATGGTGACTAGGAAGGACCATTTTCCGCTTCCATTTTTAGACCAAGTGCTTGAAAGAGTAGCTGGAAGAGCTTTCTATTGTTTTCTGGATGGATACTCAGGTTACAACCAAATTGAGATTTATTTAGAAGACCAAGAAAAAACCACTTTCACTTGTCCTTTTGGTACTTATGCTTATAGAAGAATGCCATTTGGTTTGTGTAATGCACCAGCCACTTTTCAAAGGTGTATGATGAGTATCTTTAGTGACATGGTGGAAAAATTTTTAGAAGTTTTCACGGATGATTTTTCAGTTTATGGGGATTCTTATGAGTTGTGTCTAATGAATCTAGAAAAAGTTCTTGAAAGGTGTGAAGAGAGCAATCTTGTACTCAATTGGGAGAAGTGTCATTTTATGGTGACACATGGCATTGTTTTAGGTCACATTGTCTCTTCAAAAGGGATAGAGGTAGATAAGTCAAAAGTGGAAGTCATTCAAAAATTAACTACCCCTAAGACTGTGAAAGATGTGAGATCCTTTTTAGGACATGCTGGTTTTTATCGAAGATTCATTCATTCTTTTAGTACCATTGCCAAACCATTGTGTAACTTGTTGTCACAAGATGTCCCATCTGATTGGACATCAAAATGTCAAGAAGCTTTTGAAAAGCTTAAAGGGTTGTTGACAACTGCACCAATCATGCAAGCTCCTGATTGGTCTTTACCATTTGAACTGATGTGTGATGCTAGTGATTTTGCGGTTGGGGCTGTTTTAGGGCAAAGAAAAGACAAGAAACCTCATGTCATATATTATGCTAGCAAGACTTTGAATGATGCTCTATTGAATTACACTACAACTGAAAAAGAACTCTTAGCTGTGGTCTTTGCATTAGACAAGTTTAGGTCTTATTTGGTTGGATCTCTTGTTATTGTTTTCACTAATCATGCAGCATTGAAATATTTGCTCACAAAACAAGATGCCAAACCACGTTTGATTTGATGGATCCTCCTACTCCAAGAGTTTAACATTGAAATTCGAGATAAAAAGGGAGTAGAGAATGTAGTGGCTGATCATTTGTCTCGTCTTTCAAGCTATAAGACCATAATTGATGAATCTCCAATAAATGAACTCTTTGCTGATGAAAATTTATTTTGTGCAGGTACTATCTCTTACATTGGTTCTCCATGGTATGCTGACATAGCAAATTACCTAGCCACAAGTCAGATTCCTTCTCATTGGTCTAAACTTGACAAACAAAAATTCTTGCGCAATGTGCGCACCTTTTTTTGGGATGACCCCTACCTATTTAAATATTGTCCTAACCAAATTATTAGGCGGTGCATCCCTGATCATGAAATTCCTAGGGTCATTAATTTTTGTCATGCATTAGCCTGTGGTGGGCATTTCTCTTCCAAGAAAAACATTGCCAAAATCTTGCAGTGTGGTTTTTATTGGTCTACCATGTTTAAAGATGTTCATGCCTTCTGTGTTACATGTGACCGATGCCAACGACTAGGTAGCCTCACTAAGCGTAACATGATGCCCCTTAACCCCATCCTTGTTTTGGAAATATTTGATTGTTGGGGGATTGATTTCATGGGACCATTTCCAAGTTCATTTGGTTACCAATTCATCCTTGTAGCTGTTGATTATGTGTCTAAATGGGTGGAGGCCATTGCATCTCGAACCAATGACCATCGAGTTGTGGTCAAATTCTTGAAAGAAAATATTCTCTCGTTTTGGCATGCCCCGGGCTATGATTAGTGATGGGGGAAAACATTTTTGTAACAAGCCCGTTGGGATTTTGATGAGAAAATATGGTGTAATTCACAAGGTCAGTACCCTCTATCACCCACAAACTAGTGGCCAAGCTGAGTTGGCAAATAGGGAGATCAAGAACATTTTAGAGAAAACAGTCAATCCAAACCGTAAAGATTGGTCCCTACGACTAGTTGATGCTTTGTGGGCATATCGCACTGCTTATAAGACCTCTTTAGGAATGTCTCCTTATAGGCTAGTTTATGGAAAGCCTTGTCATCTCCCTGTTGAGATTGAGCACCGTGCATATTGGGCCATTCGGCAATTCAATGACAATGAAAATGAGGTTGGCAAAAATAGAAAGCTTCAATTGGATGAATTAGAGGAGCTAAGAAATGATGCATTTGAAAATGCAAAAATTTCAAAACATAAGATGAAAACTTTGCATGATAAACATATTCTTAGAAAATCCTTTCATGTTGGTCAAAAGGTTCTCTTGTATAATTCACGATTACATCTCTTTCCTGGGAAGTTGAGGACAAAATGGATTGGTCCATTTGTGATTAAATCCATCTCTGAGCATGGTGCATTTGAGGTAGAAAATCCCAAGAATGGAAATATTTTCAAAGTAAATGGTCATCGATTGAAACTTTATCTTGAAAATATTGTGGCTGAAGTTGAGACATTGGATCTTGAAGATCCAATACCATTATAGTATCAAAAGTAATGAGTTTTTATTTTTATTTTTATTTTCATTTTCATTTTTTTCTTCTTTCTTCCATCTCTTATATTTTCTTGTTCATGCATTCGGGACAATGCATTATTTTAAGTTGGGGGGTGTGAGGTTCTTTATTTTCAAAAAAAAAAAAACATCACTGTTTTCTTTCAGTTGTGATATGCAGGTTAAAAAAAAAATTAAGGAAGAAGTCAGCTCATGCCCAATTCAATCAGACATTCATCCTTGAAAATAGAAGGGGAGTAACAATTTTCTAATCTTTATACTTTTCTTCTCTTTCTCTTTTACATTGAGGATAATGTAAAACTTAATTTTCGATATTTCATTATGATGAATGCTTGAGATAACCATGCTTGTTAAAAAAAATAAAAAAAATACTTGCATTGGTATGTGAATGAGACTTGTTGAGGATCATCATTACCTTTTTGGGTTCATTATTGTGTTAAACATTGCATGCTTTAATTTGGGATAGATAATATCTTATAAAGCAAGATATAGTATACTTTTTTTTAAGATTACTGAAGTACATCTTTCCTTGTAAAAGTTGTGTGAGTTGTGTGAATATGCATGAAAGATGAGTATGATGCTTTACTTGTGATTATCCCTTTTGATCTAGTCCTAAACAAGGTTTAAGTAAATAGAGTAATAATCATTACATAAATAAATAAATAAATAAATGTGTACAAAGTTCTATCTACTCTAATGTTTTGAGTTGCTTAGTAACTAGGGGTATTCATCACAAATGTTTATTTTTACGTCAAACGGCAGCTTGAAATATGAGTATGCAAAGCACTTTAAGTTTGTGACTTTGTGAGTAACCGGGTGCATTCATCACAAATGTTTGTATTCGCGTCAAAAGGGAAGTGACAACTTAAAGACAAAGAATAAATCATATCTTCAAAAAAAAAAGAAAAAAAAAAGAAAAAAAATATATATATATATATAGATATTTCTCTAGTTTGCTACCTTGTTTGTGTTGGTGAGAAGGGAAGATTACAAGTTGAGTTTTCATATGAATCAATTATGTTGGTTGCACGATAAATATGACTGAATTTGGAAATTTTGTATGGATGTTTGATTTAGAGAATGTGAGTATGCTTATTTTTCTTTATTTGCTATTGTGTACACTAAGTTAAAGATACCAATGTTTGCATGATAGATCCTTCAAGTGTGATGAATCGAGCCTAATTATGGTTGTTATTATTATTATTTTTATTTTAAAGGTTTTATGTTTTCTTTTGCTTGAGGACTAGCAAAATCTAAGTTGGGGGGGGTGATTGTGCATCAAAAGTGTCATTAAGTCTCTTATTTTACATATGTATTTATTGTTTTTATTTGGTTGTTTTTATAATAATTGATGTGTTTTTTAGTAATGAAGTTTGTTTTAATGTTTCGATAGGTTTTTGGAGCTTAAATGAATTAATTCAGAAAATTCAACGTCGGAATTCAGAACAAAGAATTGAAGAGACATTTAGTTGAAGATTGAAGCAAATCTTGGTTCAAATAAGTGCTCCAAATTTGTCCCAAAAATCAATTCTATTCCAATTCTAGAAAAGAATATCATATGATTTATTTCAAGCCCAAACTTGCCTTATGTTGTGTGCAAACTTCAACCATTAAACACTCAAGGTTTCAATGTCAATCTTAGCCCAAATAATAAGTACATTTGTATACTTATTTGATGCTCAAATTCAGCCCAAAATCAGCCCTAAATCAACCTCAAATCAACCCAAACACAATCCATGATCTTACATGTCCACACAACAAATAACAATTGATTTATTTTGGGTAATCCATTGATCCAAGAAGGCAACCACATGGATGGAAAGCTGGAGGGGATATTTTAACATTATTTTGGGTCAAAAAGAAGAAGGAGACACCTCATAAATGAGGAAGAAAAACGTGCACCAAAGTAGTTGTAAAGCTGTTTTGATTTGATTTTTCAGAACACCTTTTGGTGTTTTGCCCATAACGTTTTACTCAGGTGTCCAAATGAGCTGTTCTTTAATGATCTGGAAAGGTGACAGAATTTCCTATAAATATGTCTCTAATAGACTTCTCGAAAAAAAGCTTCTAAGAGGGTCGAATTTCTGTCCAAAGTTAGAGTCAGATTTGTGTCCGAATTTTTTCTGAAATTGTATTGTGTTCTTCTTTATAGATTTCGGTTCTTTAGTTTGTAAAACTTATTATTTCAGTTGGATTCAAGTTCTTTCATGTTTATTGAAGTGTTCTTATATATAATCATGGTTGGCTAAACTCTTTCTTGGATCCAAATCAAGGATAATGGTGATTGAGGTGAGTTCTTTAGGATATGAATAAATCTTAATGTTTATCTTCTTATTTTCTTCATGAATGATTTATTATTGTAAAGAAATTTTAGAAATCATTTAGGTAATGTTATAATCTTGAAGTTTTATGCACAAACTTTAGTTTTGGTATAGAGATTGCTTGATTCAATGTCTTACTTAAT